GAGTAGCAAAATGGAGAAGATATGAAAGTCGAGACCTTTCTCTCATGACTATTTTGCCATCATTACACTTGTCATAACGGCTATGAGATAAATCAGGTACCTCATTAAGTGTGAGGAGCATCTCTATCCAATGAGAAGAAAGCAACACGAAAATGTCTCTTGCAGGACAATAACATTATCGATAGAAAATCATAAATAGCTTTATTGACCCCAACATCCATGACATTGATGAGCGAGATACCATCTTGAATGAGTGACAGCTTCATTCTTTCCTCTTTGATCTTTCCCAAGTGATTGCTGACCTCTGCCATTAGCCATTGAACATGCTTATCAACGAATGATTCTGATGGCTTTTTCTTAGCTGATTCAAAAACAGCTTCAGTAATCGAAGGATACTGACGTGCAAGAGAGCAAATGATCAAATTGATTGCACCATAACGATTAGTGGCAAACGACCATGCATACTCGTCATGTGGTAAACCACCAAGTACACACAACTCGTAGATAGAGAGACACTCGTCATTCCTCTTTCTTTTCATGTAGTCGTCAAAGCTGAATGTTGACCCTTCTTTTAGCTTTATAAACTCTTTAAACATTCCCTCTATGGCTGTCGTCTTTCCAGTGCAAGGTAGGCCCATAAACGCTACTAGGCATGTGGTCACTGGAATTTTCTGATGAAGGATGACATCCCAAAACTTTCTTTGAGTGATCACTATAACAATAGAAAATAGGATAAAATGATTTACATGTCAGTATTTTGGAACCAAGTCAAGTTTAAAAATGAGACACAAAAATTAACTACAGTGTTACAATTAACACACAAAAGGAGGAGAACAATCTTATACTGACAAAACAATGACAGGGTGTTTCAAACTTACTTTCTGCATCTTGTGGGTGTACGTCAAGTGATATGATGATATCCTCAACCAAAGTACCACAAAGACTCTTAGTTTCATAATCAAAACTCTCATAGCCAGTACAGAGATCAGCATCGGATTGTCTGCCTCCTATTCCAGCATTGGCATCAAATGAAGTGGGACTCTGCGAGGGGTTTTGTTGATAGAAGAGGGGGTCAGAATCGGCTTCATGTTTGTGATCTTCTCCTGTTGGTGCCCGGACACTGTCAACAACATCAATGCTTGTCTCCAGATACACGCTCAGCTTTTACGCTATAGATAAAGACATTATTTTTATTTTGCATGGAGTAAAAGATCACCTTGAAGTTGTTAAGTTTTCTCCTCGATCTTCTTTCTCCATAGTTCATACCCACAGAAGGCGACAAGGCGTGGCTGTCTACATTCTTCTAGGAGGCCATAGATACTACTCTACTATGGCGGGGCTCAAAGGAAAAATTGAAATTGTCATTAAAGTGCTTATTTTTATGTAGCTGTCTCCATATCATCATTCATACCACAAACATCAAATAGAATTCTTCATCAGTGAGTAGTTTAAAATTAAATAATAATAATAATAATAATAATATAAGTCTAGATCTATTTATCAATTACTATTAAAATTAATCTAACAGTATAGTCTAGCAATGAAGAAACATGCAGCCTATAAATATAGTATAACAGTATAGATTATAGTATTGTAATTATTTGAGTTAATATACATCACTTTTTATTTCAGTATCCAGTTTATTGGCAATATGAGCAAATCCCCTATCCTCTAATATAGTTTTTAGTGCATGCTTAGTTGGTATTTCTGTCTGTTTTTCCCAATTTAAGAGCATCAGCATCATTGCCTTCTTTTTGCCCTCACTATCTTCTGGATCAGGAGTCGAAACATCTTTGATGTTAAGTGCTTCTTTCAAGGCTTCAAAATCATAATCATCAGTAACAAGGCCAGCAATGTCCTGAAATTTAAGTAGAATATCTGTACGACAAGTTTCTTTTAATCTTGCTCCATCGTCTTTGTTTAATTTTTCACACTACATAAATTAACAAAGCATGAATATTAAGGTTAATGAAAAATGAGTGCAGATCTAATTCTGGTGTTGTTAATTACTTTATTTGCTGCTTTGCTCCAGCATAATCTGAAATTATTTTCAGCTGAACAGGCATCACAAAGCTGAGGCTCACAATTGTAGTAGAGATAATGATATCTATCAGGATACTCACAGCAGGGCACAGCAAAACTAAATTTGAGGTCACTTATAGTATTAATTTTTCTGTCAAGACATCGACATGAAGCAGTGATTACTTTGTAACATGCTTCAACTGCTGCTGGAGATGTGAGTATGTCATTGGAGCTGTTCATTATTCTTAACCTTGTCTTGCTTCCTTTGTATATCATCTCTATTATAATGGGAGGGCCACTCTCAGATTGGAAAAAAAATTGTGAGACATTGCTGGGTTCTGTAGCAATAAGAACAACATCGTCATTATTATCCATAATGGCATAGCTAATACTAGCTTGTATATTAGCTGGGAAGTTGACACTCTCTATCTCAATGAAAGCATAATCATTCTCTTTGTCTGGTGGTGTGTACACTTCACGCGTTCTTGCTAATGGTAAATAATAGTGCACCTTATCAGGTTGCTGCTGATAATCAATGAGGATAGACAAGCCACTTTTAATTTTAGAGGCCATTGCAATTGTTGTAAGAACCTTCATGAAATCTTCAGCACTCTCAGGATGCTTGCAAAAAATTTCTTTCACAGATGATTCTGATATGATTCCATACTTTAACAGATTGGGAGCATACGGTTCTTCTTCTTGAGGATAATAAAGTTTGTCTAGGTATTGAGTGAACTCCCAAATATTGACAATGACAATATCTTTAATACTGTCATACTGAGGCATGTGGAGGATGCTGCCAAAATTTGTGAATGTTTTTAAAAATTCATCAACCTCTTTCTCTGTCATCTTCAGCTCTTTTGCTTTATATATTATGAAACTCCTATGCAGGGTCATAACTTTTGTTTCTCTACTGTCAAGT